CCACCAGGGAGGGCCCACATTTTTTTTTAACTCTTAATTTTAACTTCACATCAGAGATTTTTGTTGTGATTTATAAGGTAAGAACTTAGGAAAATTAAAATGTAGCCATATAAAAAAAATTTTCTTTTTCTAGGCCTGTATTTTTGGGCGATCCTAACATTGCACTTCTAGACAGAGGACAAATGTTACATTTAAAGAGTGTGCGCAGAAGTGACAAGGGAAGGTACCAGTGTGTTGTGTCTAATGCTGCTGGCAAACAGACCAAGGATTTAAAACTAACGATCCATAGTAAGTGTGATTTTCTTATGCAGTTTATTCTCAGCTGTTGCTATGAATTGAACAGTAGGGTTCACATTAATTTTAATGGCACTTGTATTTAATACTGAGTGATTTGTGATGCTTCCTCAGAAAAATAGAATCTGTCTTCTTATATTGAAGGCTAGAATGTAACATCCCATTGTGATGGAGTTTACCAATAAGTATGGACTTCTTCAAGTGGTCTTATGATTTCCATATGATCTCATTGAAGAGCTCTTATATTTCCTGATTGTCTAGATATACAAATAACAGATATTTTTATCCTTAAAGAGGTTTAAAAAAATTCTAAACATAGAATGAACTAGATTGAAGCAGATGATGTATAATCAGCTCCATTATTTTATTTTTCATTCCATCTTAGTCTTTGTGCTGAGGATATGATAGTATTTTATATGCCTTACATTGTTCTTTTCTCCCCATGAGCTATCCACCAAAAATAATATAGCATTCATTTCACTAAAATTCTCAATATCCCCAGAGGTCTCTCTCCTTTTTTTTTTTTTTTTTTTTTTTAATGAACAAAACTATGAAAAACCACATAGGATTAACTGCAGGCCCAAAGAATTATGCAATAGAAAGGAACAGAGCTCAGCATTCCAGTCCTGCTTCTTATAGTCCTGCTTACTGTGTTTTCTTTGTTTTTCCCTACTGTGTGGCCCTAAAAATGTGGGGAAGTTCAGAATGTCACCTCCTCACAGGGTCTTTTCAATCCTCTGCCATCACCTCGATACTTGCTGTTACACCCCAGATGGTTTTCTTCTTAGCAAATAGCACTGTCTGAGACTTTCCTGCCTAATTTTGTGTTTATTTATTTACTTACTTTCTTCTCATTGGAAGTTAGACTTCATAAGGACACAAGACCCTGCATTCCAGGTTCCTTTCTAAATGTCTGATATACCTCTCAAGAAATATTTGCTCAATGAATGGACGGTTTAGTGATATACTGTCACATATGATAGCTACTAACATATAGGTGTTGAGCACTTGAAATGTGACTGGTTGAAATTAAGTTGAGTTGTAAGTATATAATACACACCAATTATCAAATAATAAATACCAAAACACAAGACATCTATTTAACAAAGTTATATTGATTACAACTAAAATGGTATCTTGGATATATTGGGTAATACTAATATATTGGGTATATTACTAAAACTAATTTCCTTTGTTTATTTTCATACTTTGAAGTGTTGCTACTAGAACATTTAGAATTGTGTAGGTATCTTGCTTTATATTTCTATTAGGCAATACAGTTCTACTCCCTAATAAGAACTTGGACTTCAGAGAAAGACTTGTTTTCAGACCCAACACCAGATCCTTTCTAGTTTTTGTGACTTTGGACAAATTGCTTACTCCTTTGAGTTTCACCTTCCTCATCTGTAAAATGGAGATAATAATGACACCTACTTAATAATGTGATTGTGAGAATCAAATGCAAATGCTTTACATGGATTACCTGTTTTATAATTAAAGTTTGACAAATGTTTCACATTTATCATTATCTACTTAATGGTTACATTGTCTTACAGTTTGAAATATATGTAGATTCTTCTCTATTCTGTTGTATTATGCCAATGTTTGTAATTTAATGTCTCCTATTTCCATACAACATAGGTTCTTTAATTTCTTAGCTTCTTCCTAATTTTTTATGATGTCCCTCAGACATCCAGGGAGTGAGGACTCTGTAGTGATTAAACCTTCTATGGATTGTCCAAATGAAAGACATTATAATGTTGTGAGATTTTGAGTATTGTAGTCCAAGATATGTCAATTTCTCTCTAGTAAGTTTATCTGTACTTTCCAAGTTGGTAACCTAAAACATTTTATTTGAAAATATTTATTCCTAAAGTGTAAAAAAAATAAACAAATGCCATGTTTTGGCTAACTGTAAGAGATATTTATATGAAACCTTCTCAGGTTTCAGACTGAGAAGTTGTTGCATACCACATACACAGTTTTCATTTCTTTCCTCTGTCCTTATCAATGTGATGGTGAGGCAAATGGGCTAATGCACCTGAAAGGTATAAAGGCATATTGTCTCTAAATAAAGAAAGAAAGGAGGCAAAATGAAAGTAAAAACTAAACAGAGGGAGGGGATAAAAGAATGTGAAATAAATAAAGGATTTTAAAACCCTATAAGTATTAGAGGACAGGGAGAACCCCAAACTGCCCACTCTAAATTGGTTCTGCTATCTTCCTCATCAAGGAAAAACATGTAAGACCTTTAATGAAAAGGAACTTTAATAGAGTCAGTGTGCAATACAGAAAAGTCAAAGAATATAATTTCTAAATAAGCACTAAAGTTACTCATCCCCTCGTGGGTAAAAGTTTACCCAAAGGGATTGGGACAAAACAAGGCCTGAAATGTAAAGCACCTTCCAGTGGGGAGCCATAGAAAAGGGTCAGAAGTGGCCAGACAAGTTTTGGAAGAAAAGAGCAAAATCAAAATCAAGATAAACGCTGCCGTAGTCAGCCTCCCTACTGGTCTCTCACCCACATTAGGTAAGAAACAAGAGCCACTTCTTCACATGTCTCTCTGCTCATGTGCCTCCTTCAGGTCTCCTTCATGTTCTCCATCCTGCTTCCTTCCTCTTCAGTCTCCTCTCTAGATTCTTCTCCCCACTGCTCAACTCCAAACGCCTTTGGGTGGGATAGGAAACCTGGAGCCTCCCATTTTCCTGGGGAGCACACTGTTACACAATAAAATTGTGAAAATTCAGAATCATAGTATTGAGGCAAAGATTTTTAAGCTTGAGATCTGTGGATGTTTTTCAGAGGTCTGAGAGCATCCCCAAATTGAATGGAAATCTGTGAGTGTGTGGCTGTATCACTATAATATGTAGGGTGCTCATAACCTTTATCTGTAGCATATAAAATTAACAGAAGTATCTCAGAAAATATATATTAATTGAAAAAATAAGTGACTTTTATTTACTTGACAGACTTAAGCAGTGGGTGATGTCATCTGCTATCATGTTGAAAGGCCCTTTAAGTGATTCTCTTTGTATTTTCATAAAAATAATTTTTATTACTTTCAGTATAGAAAATTCTTTGTAAAATATATAAGACAAATTTGTGGGGAAAATTGAGATCTCACTTTTGTTAAGCAGCACAGAAATGTATAAAGCAGGCTAACATTACTTGTTATTCTAAGAGCATCATGACTATCACAGTATAAATTTTGCACTTAAGTGCTGGTTTTGTTTACTAATTTTATGTTTCATATCATAAATTCACTAGCAAACATTTTCAAATTTATGACAAACCTAATTTGCATGGTCAAGCAATATTCAACAATAGTTTTTGAGTGCATTTTCTCATTCAGGAAAAGTTCAATCTCAGTTCTAAAGTAAAAAAGTTACAATATACATTTACTACTATTAAGGTGTTCAACTACTATATGGTAGGATAAGTCATTATATCTGTCTTCCACATCTGGTAAATATTCATGGAAGTGATGAAATTTAAGTACACTAAGAGCAAACACAATATATCCTGGACAATACTGACTCAATAGCACATGAATATACGATGCTAGATGCTGATGAATATTACAAAAATAAGAATAAAATTTAAAAAATTGACATTTTCATAACTTGTAAATTTATCAAAACCTTTACTTCTTCCTACCTATGAGTTGTAGTGCATCATAACTGATTCCATTTCAGGTTGTCATGGATTCATGTTTTTTCAACTTATTGAAAAATATTTTGTCTTTAGTTGCTTTAGGCAGACTAATTTGACAGACTGACTCTTAAGTTTTTGCAAACGTTGCACTGACTTTTCAAATAAACAAAAAAATTGTATCACTAGTATCTGTCAACAAGTCAGGAGCCAAGAACACTTTTTAGAAAAGTACCCTTTGAAAAACAAGTGACTATTAATGTTGCTCACAGAATTCTCAACTTGTTAAGCAATTATTTCTCATGGAAATGTGCATTTCTTAAACAAATTGGTATTTTGGATACTTTTCTTTGGCTCCTACCATCTCCCTTGATTTAATTATCATTGGTAAGTGGCTTTTCTTGCTTAGTTAACAAATGAGCCTCTTAGAAACTTGCTTTGATTGTAACCTCATTTTGAAATTTTATCTTTGTGAGGAAATTCTGTTACAATGACATATTCAATTTACATTTGTTAATTTCTCTGTTGAATGGGGTGTAATGAGTAGTGTTGGTATAGACTTTTTTCTGTTAGAGCAGCTTTATTGTTCATCAGAAATACACACAGAGATTGGTCATTTAATTGACCAAAGTATTCCACACTATGCTGTGCTTTGAAAACATGACTAATTTTAAAGTCTGGTTTTGTCTTCTTTTCTTTTTTCTATGCAAGAAATATGAACTGATAGTAAAAAAAAATACACATCATGGTTTGGTGATACACATGGCATTTGAATACTGTCAAGTTAAAAATGTGTCAGATTTTTGATGAGCAGAGCAGCAGTGAGAAAGCCCTGAGAAAACCACAGTTGGTGTTAGGTTCAAATTCTTACTTCTGCCATTATCTAGTGACAGTCACCACAGTCAATATGTAAGCAGATGATAATGATTGCATTCCATTGAAACTATTTGTGGACACTAAAGTTAAAGTTTCTTGAAACTTTTACATGTCACAATATGGTATTATTACTTTGATTTTTTCCCCACTCTTTAGAAATGTAAAAAACATTCTTAGCTCGTTATCTCCATGCCTGCTCTATAGGTCATAGTTTTCTGCCCTGATCTAAATAAGAAACAAATTCCATTATTAAATTCATCTCAAAGTATAGTAGATTGTACTTTAAGTTACCTGCTGCGAGAAAAGGCGTATAAACATTTGTCACTGTGAACTAACTCTAAGACTGAATATCAGAAAATATCAAGGTGTAGTACTGCACTTAGCCCCTAGATCCTGTTTACTAATATCCTTTTCCACTAAAATCTGTCCTTCTTAAAATGTTTGATTTTTGGGGTGAAGATTATACACAGTGAATCTGGAGCGTGGAGTAGGTCTAGAAAGTAAGCATTAAAATAACAAAATGACATAAGTATGATAAAAGAATATAAGAGCAAACTGAAATAGCTCCCAAAGTTTCAAACTAGAATCATTCGAACAACAATGTGTGTGTGTGTACAGTAGTAGATAGTGTACTATATGATTCTAACTCGAAGTATGAGAAAAGTTTCTATGTATACACGTTGAAAATAAATAAAAACAAATTGTGGACGAATGACAAACCTCCCATGTAGAAAAATCCCAATAAATTAGGTAGGTATTTCCCTCTCAAAGGAGTAGAACATAACATCCTCACCCTATACATCTGGGCTGGAAAGAATGAGCACTTTCAAAACAAAAAGAAAAGTGAGTACCTTTACAGTGGAGAAACACAGCAAAAACTACCTAGACCAGGTTAATAATATCAGGATGTCATGTTGGGAGTATACACCCTGGATATGAGGTGGTGAAAATAGCATTTTTTATCTCTCGTCTTCCTCTTAAAACCCACAACCCTAGTATTACTGTAAGGAAAATGGCTATAAAATACTGTATTCTACAGAAAAATTGTATAATAATGCGAAGACATTCAAACTCAAACACTTGCTACTTGATTTCTTTCATATTCTTGCAATTATAGCAGAATTCACAATGACTGCTCAGAATACACATCAGGGAATGAGCCTCTTAAGTTGTTTTTCCAAAGGCACAGTCCTCATGTGGTGTGTGAGGTCAGGCATGCAGTTGCTGAATTGTGGAAGATACACATGTAGACAATTAGCTGGGGAAAGTTTAGTGGATGAATTCTTGGCATACCCCGCCAAATAAGTAAAAAAAAAAGTTAAGAAGCAAAATTAAAGATACATCAGCTATAATTAACTAATTCTGAAAGCCCTCAGACCTGTAATTGTGAGGGGAGATCACATGCTACTGTAGCAGATTGCACATTTTTTATTTGTATCTACTTACATTTACATTAAGCAGAGATTCATATCTTTTTTTTAATGCATACAAGAACTGGCGTGGAGAGCAAAGGTGCAGGGGGTGGGAGTGAGAGGACCCATTAGACACAGAATGGGGAGCAGAACAGGTAGATCTACTGAAGTACACTGATGAGGGGAGCAATGGGAGACAGAAGAGGTCTGTTGTGCCATGTCAGCTCCCCAGCTGGCCCAGGATAGAGCTCATGTCACAGGGGCTGTGGTAGATTGATAGCACTGTATCTTTAACCCTTACACTACCAGGGAGGCCCTGGGGTTTTGTATCTGTTGTGGAGATACATACATACATATATATATATATGTGTGTGTGTGTGTGTGTGTGTGTGTGTATGTACACACTTATGTATATCATAATCTGCATTATACTTTAAAGTATAGTTTTGTTTTGCTTTGTATGTAAAGCATAAACTTTGTTCGTTACTATAATAAGATCTATTGTACTTAAAGGAACCCCTGAAACTAAAACTGTGACTCTCTGCTAAGACTAATATCTGAAACCCAAAAGGAGAGTGGTGAAGATTGTTTGCATAAATCTCCAGGCCTCTGAATTGTCTTTATGTCAGATTTACTTACATGCATTATTGAAATATCTCTATCATTTAAGATTCTGATGCAGAGGCTCAAACTGACAAGAGTGTCCCTTTGTAGTTCCACCTAGTATTAAAGGAGGGAATGTCACCACAGAAATGTCGGTGTTGATCAACAGCATGATTAAACTGGAATGCGAGACTCGGGGACTTCCGATACCTGCTATTACTTGGTATAAGGACGGACGGCCAGTCATATCCAGCTCACAGACATTGTATATTGACAAAGGACAGTTTCTTCAGATCCCCAGGGCACAGGTCTCTGATTCAGGGACATACACGTGCCATGTGACCAATGTTGCTGGAACTGCTGAAAAATCATTCCATGTGGATATTTATGGTGAGAAAAAAAAATCTGTGCATTAACTATATAACCTTTTTGTATATGCTTTCCAGTATGCTAACGCCCAGCATGTTCACTAATGAGTTTGGTTATTTTCAATATTCATCCTATGATTTGAAAAAAAAATTAAAAGCTAAGATTTGCAAGAACTGGACCATTTATTTAGCCAGTGATTCCCTGGGGCACCTGGGATATTTAGGCCATTTAGTTTTTATGGAAAAGGTAAAATATGGTCTTCCTTGGTAGCCCCAGACACCCTCAAAAATGCCAAAATCCTCATATGGTTTTAGGTAATCCTCAAGTTCCTTACCTAAAATGGCCTAGTACTTGCATAGAACCTATGAACATGCTTCTGTGTATTTTAAATTATCTGTAGGTTATTTACAACACTTAGTACAATATCAAGGCGATGTAGGTAGTTGTTATACTGTATTATTTGGGCAGTAATGGTCAAAAGTCTGTACATGTTCAGTCCAAATGCCAATTATCACAGGTCTAACTAGACAGCATGGATTTTCCATCTGAGTCTGATTGAATCCACGCATGTGGAACCAGTGGATACGGGAGAACAGTCACAGTTGTTAGTACTAAGAACATTCTTTATTACTTGTCACCTACAAGCCAGACACAGCCTAGGGTGCCTCACCATGTTGATCAGCTGAATCAGGAAATTGTTTCTTCAACTGCATAGGTAATTTTTATGGTGTAATAACACAAAGGGGAGAAAATCCACTTCATTTCATTACAACTTCAGAGCATAGACTGAAATACCACTTTTTCTACCTAGTGCCTCCAGTGATTGACGGCAACTTGGCTGTACCTCTGCAAAAGCAAGTAGTTATTGCTCATTCGCTGACACTGGAGTGTAAAGCTGCTGGCAACCCCCCTCCCATTCTCACCTGGTTAAAAGATGGTGTTCCTATGAAAGCAAGTGACAACATCCGCATTGAAGCTGGTGGGAAGAAGCTAGAGATCATCAGTGCCCTTGAATCTGACCACGGGCAGTATGTTTGTGTGGCAACCAGCGTGGCAGGAGAGAAGGAAATCAAATATGAAGTGGATATTCTAGGTAAATGAGGCTGGCCTCACTCAGATTGCCAGTCTCATAGAAAAACCTTTATTCAAGTATCTATCCATAGAAAATTTTACTAAATACTTTTTTGTTCATCAAATAGTAAAAGTCTTTGGAAGCTTTAGTCTAACCCTACACTGTAACTTATTGATTGGTAAATTTATCACCACTAAAACCTACATAAATTGCAAGACCCAATTATCTTTCACTGTTTGTGATAGGAATACTTTGTAAGTGTGTAGACACATGTTTTATCTGTGATGATAGTTTATTGCAGAGAGTGACACCTGAAATTTTAAGTCTCTGGGCCTTAGGAGCTCATCCTGCTATCCTGACTCTCTATTTCTTTATAACTTGGAGGCTTTTGTATAAGGTTCAATTTTTTGAGGTTCCCTTCTCTTATGAAAAGAATATACAATATGAATCAATTTCAAATTCATGTGACATAGCAGCACTATACTGCTAGATTGAGGAAAACCCCCAATATGTCAGAATGCATCCTGGTGTTTGTGGTAAAATGGATTTCAAAAGGCATTTAATTCATGCACTGAATCACAGTGATTCAACCTCCTAAACTATGGCTTAGTTTTGTTTAAAGTAATGGAGCACATTTTCTCGAACCCATTTCTTTGTATGTTACATTTCTGTTGTTTTCCAGTGCCGCCAACTATAGAAGGAAGCGATGAGACATCTTACTTCATTGTGATGGTGAATAACTTACTGGAGCTAGAATGTCCAGTGACAGGCTCTCCTCCACCATCTATCATGTAAGGGTTTTGGTATGTCTTCTAAATGCATCTCACTTCTTTATTTGAAATTTTTGAAGCTATCTTGAAGCAAGTCCCATGCCATTAAAAATTCAAATAAAATTATCTTTTGTATTCCTCTTTTAAAAATACAGACTCGATGTACAAGGCAGCTTTCACTTCATATTCACAAGGTGTCTAAATTTGCTCAGCTAGAGAAATTCAATTTATATTCTTAGAAATTACATTTTCAACTCATCTGAACAACTAAACAGAATTTTCAGATCTTCCTGAGTCACTAAAATATTTCATAAGTAACAAAGAGAAATGTATCAGATGCATTAAAGAAATGGAGGAAATTAACCCATGTATGTTTACTAATTTTTTTCTAACTTCTTCATTCACTGAATTTTTCTGAAATATTTATCTTTTATTTCCCAATGTGCTATGATTGATGCAAAAAAAAAAAAAAGAAAGGTCAGCTAAAGTAATAAGTGGAAAATGCTAACACATAACATGAAAAAGTACATGATTTCTGGATTTTAATTTACATATGTTCTAGGATTATAATCATTTGCTGGTTAATACTGAGACATTTGAAGTAAACAGTACTTAGGGTAATTTGCTTCTTTTTATAGCTTAATTTTAATAGAAGAATGAAGAACCCCATCCAAACTTCCTAGGTTTCAACAATATGCCAATTTCTGTGTTAGACCAGGTTACAATTTATTTTATAGATTGAGAAAGTGGAAGTCAGGTCAGGCATATACATGATGGAAAATTTATATATGTGAATCTAATATGTAAATAAATTTATCTCCTCTGAGATATATCTTCTAGGAATAAATGTAGAAACATCTCGACTCCACTTACCTTGTTTTTGCAGGTGGTTGAAGGATGGCCAGCTAATCGATGGAAGGGATGGATTCAAGATCCTACTAAATGGACGAAAGCTGGTTCTTACCCAGATTCAGGTGTCAGATACAGGCCTCTATCGGTGTGTGGCAACAAACGCAGCTGGAGACCACAAGAAGGAATTTGAAGTGACTGTACATGGTATGCAGAAGCAGTGACAGGAGTGTGACACTGAAGATTTATACATTGATTCATGATCTAATTCAGATTGTAGCTTGGTCGTCTAAATAAAGCTTAAGTTGTGGAAAGTAATGTGGAGGATACAAACTTGAATTAAAACAATAGATTTTCAGGCAGTTTACTGATAGAGACTTGATCAAGAAGTGCCATGAGAACAAATATAGACTGAATATAAACACTAGGAAGTATATGCTGCATAAAATGTAAGGTGTGAAGATTGACATGTAAGAGAGCAAATTCCAGGTAGAGAGGTTGTATCAGCATGGAGGATTTAATGAAAATAGGAGGGGATGAATAAAGCTGTGTGAGAAATGGAGACTGAGAATGCCATGTGGGGCCCAGGACATATAGATGCATTCACTGTAGTGGCACAGAAGTTAGCCAAAGTCATCTGCCAGGCGTTACATGTCTCACTTGCCTGTCAAATTTGGGAAGGAAGGGGCTAGAAAGGGGAGTGAAGGGCCATTTGGAAATCTCAAGTAGGTTTCCATGAACATCAACTATATTTTTCCCCCTGTGAATGCAGATAATTGTCCTTGCCTTTTCATTTCTGTCAGGGAATATGGCTCATTCTAGTCTGTCTCAATTCTAATTCCTAAGGAAAGGGTCTGCCCAAGTCCAGGTTAATCCATCTTGAATTCAGTCAGTCTTGTTGGGGGTAAAGGCATGCAGTTTAAATACGGCTACTGGGTACCCCTCCTGACTTGATGTAATATCCCTAGAGAATGGGAAAACCATGATAGATTGGAAACACCCCAAAAGTCACAAGGTGCAATCTGCAAGATTATACATACATTTTACTTATTCTGTGGATAGCTAGAAATCCATAGTGAAAAAGTAAGTAATTTCTAAAAATTGCTGAAAATTATCAATTAAATGCATGGAATAAAATTGCATCTCTGTTTGACAAAATAAGGATTTGCCCCTTTTTAACTTTTACATTTGATTGCTACATACAGATTTTTAAGTGTTTGATTCCACTGATTATGTTCCCCTCTCCCCCCCCCACCCCACCTACCATTCCTCTCTCTCTTCTTTACTTCATAAATTCTTTTCTTACATCTAGTTCCTCCAACAGTCAAATCCTCAGGCCCTTCTGAGAGAGCTGTAGTGAAGTACAAGCCAATCACCTTGCAATGCATAGCCAATGGCATCCCAAATCCATCCATTACATGGTTAAAAGATGGTCAACCTGTGAATACTGCCCAAGGAAATTTCAAAGTAAGTACAAACATTACTGAGCCCCAAATAGGAAAGCCCCAGAGATCTTCATGGAAATACAATCTTCTTTCTTAATTTTAAATTTTCCTGTTGGGCAGGAAATTTTGCAGAATATTGATTAAAACATTGTGTTTTCCTTAGCTTTTTTAGAATTTAACTTAATATTTTGCTTAAATGAATGAAATTAATTACAGGCTAATAATCTTGATGTTGACATTGCTTTTAACATAGTTAACATTACTATTCCAAGTCCAGTGGGACTAATCTCACACATTTATGCCAGTGATAGATTCAGTAAGTAACCCTCAAAAATGGTGCACATAAGCAACTGTCTATCTGGAAAACAGTTATTACATACTCATTCAAAAGTATAATTGCAAACTGTACAAAGTGACTTTGACAGAAAAATATAGAGGTAGAAGAAGTTATGAAGATGACTTATAGAGAAAGCCTTGGAGTAGCAATAGAAGAATTATTTAGGAGTTATATGAGTGAATTTATGGAAGAACAGAGTAGAGCATTTCAGGGAAAGTATGCATGGATGAACAATGTAGATCTAAAGGAGTTTGACCTCTTGAGGACCAGAAAGCAAGCTAGTGGACTAAAGAACAAAGAGGAGAGATGTAAGTAGAGGAAACCAGAATGGGTAGGAGACATGTTAATAATGTCATAACTTTATTTTTACTTGAATATAACGGTACATCTTTGAAGGGCTTTAAGAAAAGAGTGATGTGGTCAGGTTTGCACTTTGAGTAGTTACTAGATATCTTTTGGAGAATATATTGAATAAGTAGGCTAGAAATGTGAAAATAATTTAGAATTTAATAAAAGATAGAGAAAATTTGGACTTAAATGCCGGCCATTTAAGAATTAAATCATTAGGACTTAGTAATAGCTTCCTTATGAATGGTGAGAGAGGGAAATATGAAGCGTAATTGTAGGACTATAACCCACACATACATGTAGATAATGATGCCACTCAAAAATAGGAGATCCTGGAGAACAAGTTTAAGAAGGAGAAATTTATTTGAGTTTTAGACTTTGGGGTGTGACTTTGAAATAAACTAGTGAAGGTGTCAGATAGACTATTAAATATATGATCCTGGAGTTTAAAAGAGAGCTCCGGATAGAGATATTGACAGATGTTTGAAACTGAAGTGTACCGAGTTGAAGGATCTGCTTACTCTTTGAGGGGTTCTTAGCCATGAATTGACAATTGCAGGGAGGAAAAAAATCATACAGACTGCAGTTATATAGGGTGCAACAATGAGTTTATTTAAAAGGGGAAGTTGGGGAAAGGAAATGTCTTTAAAGCCAAAAACGGCAGCTGTCTTACTCCAGTTAGTATCCACAGTGTCCAATAGTCCAAACCCAAAGCTGCCCATGCAAGACAGTGTTATTTCTCCCATGAGAGCCTGGGACTGATAGCAGGCAAGTGGTGGACCAGGGTCCAGCTAACCAGTGGCACTGGTGGCATTGCTGAGGTTACACCATAGCAGTTTCTCCCCTTAATGCGAAGTCAGGGCTCCTGAAGCTTCATGCACGCTGACCTTCTCAACTCACTCAGGCCTTCCCTGCGCCCTCCTTCCAACAGACTGTAGCCTTTCCAGGCAGCCTCTCTCCCAGACAACCCCTTGCTTTCAAGCTGGCTGAGGTCTTCCTAAGTAGCTCCAGCTTATATCCGCCTTCAGAGTACCCGCCTTTCAAACCTGGTTGGTTCACTTTCCAAACCAGCTGTTTTCAAGACTTAATTCACACCGGCTTGCTCTTGAACTTAATTGGCTCCATAGAAATTCAGACCTTCTCCATTCAAAACCAGCTCAGGATTTGAAACCAAAACCTGCATAGGGTAAATGAAGCAGATATGGCTTCTTTACACTGTCCCACCACCAGCCTCTTGGCTGCCACCTGCGTGCATGTGTTCCTCCTGTGTTGCCTGGATGACGCGGCTGAGAGGTGTGGGCGACAGGTCACGTATGCCTATGATTATGGACTTGTGAATATCTAAGTGTGGGCTTGTGAATATGTAAGTGTGGACTCCTGTGCCTAGAGGTGAGGGATAAAAGGTGTGGAGGGTACTCTGATACAATGACACGAGACTGCGAGGGAGAACACCAGAGAGAGGTGAGGGAAAGAGCTAAGAGCTGTGGACATTTTCAGGGCCTAGGGCCCCTGATTGGCTCCCTGCTAGTTTGCCTGCGTACCTGGTTCCCTGACTCAACATTACAGGATGATTCAATATCCTGTAAAAGTCCACTGGAGGCTCCGAATTCTCAATCCATCTACCCGAATCGGCAGTGAACCTATCTGGCCTGGGATGGTTGCACAACATCCCAGTAGTGCATCTTAGCTTCCCTGTACCATTTGGGGCAGGAGCTGGGCAGGTAAGCTCTGCTGTATCTGAAGGGTGCTGACAAGATTCAAACCTGACCTGTGTGTCTCCAAAACTGCTATTTTTTCCCTTAAACTCCAAACCAGCTGTGCCAAGATCAGCCATCAATCCCAGCTACCATGGCCTAGTATAGACAGATGCCTCTCAGCTGAGGGCCCTGCTATCTTCAGAGAACCACAAGCCACAAGGGCTACTCTTACAAAGCCAGAGGCACATGAATTAGTCCAAGGGGACAATAAAGAGTTAATCCAAGGGGAGAAAATGGCCCTCCCTGGTGGCGCAGGGAGTTAAAGCACAGGACTGAGAAGTTTAAACCACCCCCAATGAGTTTGATCCCTGCCTGCCCCGAGGAGATCCCACATGGCTGATGTGGCAGACCACTCCTGACCTGCCCACTGCTCCCCTTAGCAGTGTACTTCATTGATCTGCCTGTTCTGCTCCCCACTCTGTCTCTGGTGAATCCTCTCACCCTCCGCACCTCTGGACTGTTCCCCAGTTCTGTATGAATAAATAAATAAATCTTTAAAAAAAAAAAGAAAGAAATGAGAGAACCTAGCTTTTTCACTCTAAAGAAATTATGGCATTAAAAGGCCATGTGCAAAAGTCCAGGAGTGAATATAAATGCATGAATATGTTGGTAATTTATGTTTATTATGGTATGACTGGAGAATAATTTCAGTGAAGTTTTACATGGGAGCATGAGAGATCATCTGGGGTGCGAAAGCAGTGAACCTGGAAGGCTAGACTGAGTTCAGGTTTCATTTTGGGCAAAGTAGGAAGTCATGAATGAGCTTTGAAGGGGACTTGGTACAAGGATCAAATTTGCTTGTTAGACAAATTATTCTGGCAGCAGTGTGCTAGTTAGATGAACAGTTTGTGAGGTTGGAGACACTGGCGTATCAGTTAAGAAGCTATTACAATCCCACAGTGACTGTGAGAATGGAAAACAGGAGATCTGTGAAAGAATGATATAATTAATAGGAGAATTAAAGTGAGCCCCATAACCCAGATGATTGGAAACGTGCAATGAGAAGTAGGTTTCAGAGATATAAGGAAAACATTTACAAGCTCCACTTTGAGATTTGTTACATGTCATGTGCTAACCTATCCAGCATGCGTGTAGAACTCAGGAAGTTGCGGTCAACACTGCAGACGTAGGAGTCTGTACAGGGCTTTTCACCAAAGCCATGGATTTGGGTGAAAACTAACAGAAATCTAAGTTTCTTCTTTCTGATACAGAAAGAGGAAGCAGATCCTATAATTTCCAAAAGAATTAATTGAGAAAATGCTGAATATCCATATCCAAAGGACAGACAGATTCATAAAGTAGACAGTCAGCCATTCTCAATGCTGTAGCTAGTGAAAGAGAATATGAATTTACTACATAAACTCTGAATATTGTGGTTGAAAGTTAGTGAGGAACCTCAGACTAATCCGTTTTGAAGATTAACTGTTCAATCACCAGTTTGAAATGGTGGGTGCCAGTTGCAATGAATTTAAGAGGGAAGTAAGGAAAAGTAGTCAGGGAAAAAATTTATCTACATTCCTATTACTCCTATTTTATGACTTTTATTGCTTTTCTGGCATCCATGAACATTTAATCAAAAAAGATGGCTGTTTTAAAACTATTTATGACGTGCTATATAAATCTAACCATGTTTTTCTTTTTTTAAATTGCTTAAATTTTCAGCACATATCTCATAGCTTAGTGCTAACATCTTTTTTTTTTTTTTTTTTTTTTTTTAGTGGAATTTTATGATTATCCCAGCAGGCTGGTCTGGTTATTTTCTATTTTGTAATAAATAAGTAAAGTTTCTCAGTCATATTAGTCTGTTTTCTTGTGTATGATGAAGTGCTCTGGCTCTAGTATGTCCAGAAATAATTAAGATATTGGCATAAGGTATAATTAGATATTATAAATTTAAATGAGTTTTTTCTATCTCAGCAAATGTTGGCAAGTGCAAGTGCAAAGTCAAAATGCGGCCATGCTTTCTGCTCCCAATTAGATACAGTCTTCTGGTCGCGTTCTGCAAATAGCCAAAGCTCTGACGGAGGATGCTGGCAGATACACATGTGTGGCCACCAATGCAGCTGGGGAAGCGCAGCAGGAGATTCAGCTGCACGTGCACGGTAATGTCTTCTCATGGCTTAACAGAAAGCTACGTCTGTGTTTTTTTTTTTTTTTAAAGATTTATTTATTTGTGCATACAGAACTGGGGTACAGGCCAGAGGCTCAGGGGCTGGCGAGAGGCTTCACCAGAGACAGAGTGGGGAGCAGAACAGGCAGATGGATGAAGCACACTGCTGAGGGGAGCAGCGGGCGGGTCAGGAGAGGTCTGCCACGCCATGCGGCTACCTCCGGGGCAGGCGGGAATCGAACTCATGCAGAAGCGGCTTTAGATTCTCAGTGCAGTGCTTTAACCCGCTGCGCCACCAGGGAGGGCCACTACGTCTGTGCTTTTTAACACGAGGCTCATTTTTATTGAGTTGGCATGCAAAAACACAAGTGCCTATTTCAACCTATATGAAAAAATCTAAATAGTCTTTCTACATCATTGTAATTATGATTCCATTATTGTAATTCAGATCTTCAGTTTACCAGTTGTCCCATTGGTCATGCTAGAGATCATAAGTAAATACAAGACTCATGTTTTTAATGATTTGAATTCTATTAATGATAACTTTCCTCAGATAAGATTTGTAGAAAAGAAGTTTCAGGGCTGTTCCTTAGCCTTGTCTGTGACTTTCTTGCCTACCTGTGAGGGATTTTGTGAGTAGAATCTAACCTTGGCTGAAGAACTTCTCTTCCATGCTTTAATAAAGTCTGGGTGGCCACAGAGCACTTCATGAATATTATAGCTTCACAGTAAACTTGAGAAACTTCCTGAGCTTCAATTTAAAACTTTACATCACTGGACACTCAACAGAAAGGGACAAGAATTATAAGCTTGGACTTTCCTAACTTAGCTAAGGAGATTTTCACAATGGTCTTCACTTTTGATTTTCTTTAAAGTCTTCACTTACTCATTAGTCATTATCTCTAATTCATGTGATTGCTTGGTAATTCTTTCATCCATCCTTTCATTTATCCATTCATTCATATTTTCTGTGTGAAGTGAATTAGACTTCAATAAATTAGAAATTTATTAAAAGTGGTGATTGATTCAGAGCCAAACAGAGGCCCCAAACCAGGAGAACAGCCAAGCGATTTCCCTAATTAACCCACCTTTAGAGGTTTGATCTCAGTTTGTATAGATAAGTTGTGTGCACAAAAAGAATACTTAATTCTATAACAAGGGTCTTCTTGTTCTAGAATGGGGATGGAGACATCTGAGTAACTCTTATCAGGTTGGTTTCTAACATCCTTGGCTAATGAAAAAGGAGGGGCACTCTGATCATAAGTCAAAGTCATAACTTCATTTACAAAATCAACATCTCAGAACTGTCTGTGTGGGAGAAGATATAAGGGCCAAGGCTCTTTAAACCTCTTAAACTAAAAAAATTCATGTACAGACCAAGGGCCAGAGTCTATAGTCAGTCAGTTATCATATGTTCTCCTTCCAACAACTTGTCAACATGACAGAGGTGAACTTTTATATGTGGACTTTCACAGGCACTTTGCTACTTCTTGTTACAGAACTTCTTTAGAGTAAACAGAAAGTATTTGTTTTACTGAGTTCCAGCTTCTGCAGCTGTTCTGAGAAATATATTAGAGATACTGCTCAGAGATGGTAGAATTCCTTTTTTTTCCCCCTAGTCTAAACCTATAGTAATGTCCAATACCTAGCTTAATTGCAGGTAGAGTCAGTAAATGTTTAACAAGTAAAACAAAATAGTGCATGAATAAAAAAAATCTGACATAAAGTTCTTCTAATTTGCTTCTTTACATATTTTCTTTTATTTAAATCAACTAGTGAAAAGATTCAAATCATTTGTTCCATTAATGTTTTCAAAAAACTGACTTATTCTGTCCCCAGCCCCCCAAATGTGAAACCTAACTTTTGGATGTCAACACATACAAATTATGTTCATTAGGAGGACCTTAATTTTTTTTTTCTCTAATTAATTAACGTAAAGGCCACCATTTGATTATATCCATGTTGGGGTGACCTTACCGTGCTTGCTGGCAAGGGACAGGTTGATCCTTCCCTATTTCAAGTTGCCTTGAATTTATTTTGTTCCTCATAAAGCCTTTTATCCTAATGTTCTTTAGTAGCTGTCTCCAGCTTCTCAGACCTACACTTCCATCCAAGTGTATGCTGGAGGTAATTTTTATTTTTGTTTTACTGGTGCCATAAATTTGCCAGTGGTAACTTACGTGTCCCATTCAAGATAACTGTAGTTTTCCTTCCTTGGACATGTTGTTAAGAGGTCAGATTGTAGCTTTTTCTGTTTTATTTTGAAAATATTTGAATAAAACAAAATTGATTTTTTTAGAGAATATACTGATGGTAGACTTGTTCTCCTTGCCCCTATATATTTCTTCCCTAAGACTTCTGCTCTCCTTTATCTTCTTCCAGCAATTTCATTTCTCATCTGAGCTCTATTGTTAGCTTAGCTAAGTTGAAATAGTTAAGTAAATCACTCTGTATATTGTGATCATCTTAGTCTCTGGAGTCAAACTTTCGGGTTAAATTCTGTGCTAACCATGATCTCTGTTCTCTTGACTAAATCATTTAATTTTGCTGAGTATCTCACTTTCAGAGTGCTTTCAAAAGATATAAAGGTTTCAGGTATGACATTGGTTCCACATTTTAAGTGTTGTCAAAAAGGATATTTCTATTCTCTAGACTCTCCTCTAATACGTACGCGGAGATGCTATAGTAAAGAAGAGAGGGTATGTCTCCAGAACTGAAAAAAAAAAAAAAAAACAATCTCAGTGATTATGGCCCCCAAGTTTCCATATTCATAAAAATTGTACATACTGCACATTTAATGTAACTTCCTGTGCCTAGTCCTAGAGCTACTAATATAATAAGTGGTCTCTGTGCTGTTACTTGGAGAAATATTAGCCCAGATTCTGAAGACTAACCTAGAGACTTTACACTGCAGTCAAGAGTGACTGAAAAACAAAGTCTATGAAGGGAAATCAATATCCTATCAAAGAAAGAGTGGAGTAGGCCTCTCTGATTGTACAAGGGTTTAAGTGTCTGCATTATGAAGCTATCTTCAGTCACTGCAGCATGAGTTAGATGTCTGGCCAGAAAGCTTACCTACATGGTACAGCAGACCTCTCCTGTCTCATCCACTGCTCTCCTCAGCAGTGTACTTCAGTCAATCTGTCTGTTCTGCTCCCTGCTCTGTCTCTGGTAAATCTTCTCACTTTCCTGCACCGCTGACCCACACCCTAGCTCTTGTATCATGAATGAATGAATGAATGAATGAATGAATCTTAAAAAACAAACAAACAAAAAAAGGCAGATTAGGCCTCCCTGGTGACCTAGGGGGTTAAGTCTCAATGCTAGTACCACTAAGGCCTGTGTTCGATCCCTGTCCAGGGAACTGACCCACATGGCACAGCAGACCTTTCCTATCCTACTTGCTGCTGGCTCAGCAGTGTATCTCAGTAGATCTGCCTGTTTTGCCCCCTACTTTGTCTCTCACGAATCATCTTACCTCTGCACCTCTGTCCTACACCCCAGTTCTTATACCATAAATAAATAAATCCTTTTTTTTTTTTTTAAAAAAAGCACAATTAATACCTGTGAAAATACAAGTCTACAATCTGCAGTCTGATGTTGGTAACAGAATATATATTGGTGGCAAATATAATCAGAGTGCACACCTATTTAAAAAAAAATCAGAGATGGGGAGCAAGCTGAGCATTATCTGGCTAGATTTACATTAAAAGAAAGAGAAACAGGTTAGTCTTTTTAACATTTTATTAAAAGCCACAGAAGCATATATGGGAAATGATCTTCTTGTCTTGAATAACAAAAAGAAAATAGGTACGATATAATAGCAGCTGGAAATATTTCTGCTAGTATGACTTTGAATGCCTGGATAATAGTTCATCATCCTGAAAGGAAAATAAATGATAAATTGGTTAATCTAATACTGTCTATTGTCAACCTGGAGAAAGTAGTTGGCCAAGTACAAGTAACATGTGACATGTTGGCGCTTATGACAGCAGCATCACCTCAGATGTATATGGTTCAAACGTGATTCTGTTCTCTTCATACTTGATAACTTCATTGAGCATTACATATGTTTAAAAAGGAAGAAATTTCTGAGAGACAGAGTAATAATATATTTCAATGACAAGTTAACATGTTGTGAATCACTCCATAAGACCAGGGTGGTGAAAGAGTAGAGTAGCTTGAAGGCTTGAGTTATTAATGGCATGCTCCAATTACTATAGATAGGATAATTTCTAGCAAAGGTAATCAGCCTTAGAAGTCAGTCACAGGACCTTACAGTATCAAGAACAAGAGAATTACACTTTTTTGTTCTAAATGTTTCTGAAGTATTGTTATCAAATTCGCTCTTAAGAGGAACATTGAAATTTTTATATGGAAGCTGTGATTATTTCATTCAGCTCATTTATCAGTTTACTCAACCATCTCTATAATTGCCTTTTAAGTTAGGGTTTGTTTTTATTCCAATCATGATTGCTCTGGTGATACATTCAGAAAATAAACTTTTGCTACATTTGTCATCCAGAAGTGTTCAGTTCTAAGAAAACCCAGCTTTCCAATTGTTTAATAGTTTCCTTTCTTACAAGAAAGACTTTAGATGCTTTTAGTTTTCTCAGTCATGGAAAAATGTGTTTCCAGAAGATGAAATAAAAAAGGGTGGATGGTCTTTTGGAGTAGAAGACCAAGACATGGTCATGAGAAGAGAAGCATTCTTATGGTCCCCTGGGTTTTCTAGGGGGTTCTATTTTGGAAGACAGAGGTGCTCGGTAGGTGGTCCTTTTTGATCATCTGTTTCATAATTCTGGAAGTTCTTATTCTCTAGACCAAACTATGAAATTATATCTAAAAGTCAGGTATTTGCCAACTGAGACAGATGTTTCCACAAACAAATGACAGTTCGGAGTCTAATGGCTAAAGCATTCATTTCATCTGTACTTAATCATTTTCTGGGGAAAATTAACTAAGGTAAAACACCCAGAAAATTAACTAAGG